AGGGAAAACAGGAACATATCTCAACATTATAAAGGCTATCTATGCTAAGCCCTGGCCAACATCATTCTAAATGTAGAAAAATTGAAGGCATTCCCTCTAAAAACTGGAACAAGACAGGGATGTATTTTTTCACCATTTCTATTTAACATAGTTCTTGAAACACTGGCCAGAGCAATTAGACAGACGAAAGAAATTAAAGGAATACACCTACACCGAGGAAAAGAAGAATTCAAATTGGCACTATTTGCTGATGATATGATTCTATACCTAGAAAACCTTAAAAGTTCTACCAGAAAACTTCTAGAACTAGTAAATGAATTCAGCAAAGTAGCAGGATATATAATCAACACCCATAAATCAAATGCATTTCTGTTAATCAGTGACAAATCCTCAGAAATGGAAACGAGGAAAACCACCCCATTTACAATAGCATCAAAAAAAGTAAAATACTTGGGATTCCACAAAAGAGGTGAAAGATCTATATAATGAAAATTACAGCACCCTAAAGAAAGAAATCAAGGAAAACCTTAAAAGATAAAAAGATCTACCTTGCTCTTGGATAAGCAGAATTAATATTATCAAAATGACCATACTACCAAAACAACTATAAAAATGTAATGAAATTCTGTTCCAAATCCCAATGACATTCCTCATAGAAATAGAAAAAGCAGTCATGAAATTTTGAAGGTCTTTTAAAAGAGCAGTATACTGTTTGAAATGAGGTTTTCAATCACCAGAGAAAAATGCTCAAAAGATGGGTAAAACTAGTATCAAGTTTTAAATTCCAAACAAAAACTTCAGGAGATAAGTACAATGTGCTTTACTTCGGCAACCTTATTTCTAGGGTTTAGTATTACATTGTTTAAACTGCTGTTTTTTCTCCTATACAATGTAAATGAAAAGTGGAAATCAACAGACATGTGGGATGAGGTGGGAAACAAAACTGCAGGGCAGAGAAGGGAATACAGGAGACAACTGACGTGGGCTTAATAACATTTGCCCCCCTCCCAAAGATATCCATTTCTCAATCCTTAGAATCTGTGACTGTAGGACCTTATATGGTAAAAAGGATCTAGTGACTAAATTAAGAAGGTAGGGATTAGGAAATTATTTTGGATATCCAAATTGCCCTGATGGAATCAAAGGTCCTTATAAGAGGGAGGCAAGAGGACCAGAGACAAAGGAGGTATTGTGATGATAAAAATGGAGGGAGGAAAAGTGATATGATGCACTTTTCCTTGTGTGCCAAGAAATGCAGCAGCTTCTAGAAAAAAGGACAGGGCAAGAAAACAAGAATCTTCCAAAGAGCTCCAAAAGAAACAAAGGCCTTAAAATGCCTGGCACCGGTTTTGAATTTCAGATTTCCAGAACTATAAAATAATAAAACTGTATTATTCCAAACCATTAAACTTGTGGTAGTTTGCTACAATGGCAATAGAAAACTAATGTAACAGCTTAGTGTAAGGAAGAGTGATGGTCTCTGTTAGGTGGGTGGCAGCGACTTGGTGCCGACTTAGTGGTGACTTAGTGGCAACTTAGAACAAAGCAGCCCATGCCAGAAAAGAACATCAATCAGATGCCGGCGGAAACGCCTGTCAATCAGCCAGATCTCCTGACTAACGCCTGTCAATCCTTCCCTGTCAATCAGCCAGACCTCCTGACTAACGCCTGTCAATCAACAGGACCCCCTGGCCAATCCTGGAGTTCAGCCAACTCCCCTGACCAACTCCAAGGGGGCAAGGGGCCCTAGAAACACCTTTTCCTGTCCTAAGCCCTTCCCTTCCTACTGTAAGCCCCATAAAAGTCCAGTCCTGTTGAGCTTCCATGCGGTTTCTCCTCAGACCCTTCCCCTGTCCCCTCTGTGGGTCTGATCGAGTTCCGCCCGGGAGTGATATCTCAATAAAGCCTCCCTGCCTGATCTGGCAGTCTCTTCCTGTGATTCAACTATCAACACGGTATGGTGGCAAGGGGGACATGGGGTCTATTTGCTGGCACCTATCCCACCTCCCGAACAGAGCCTCCAGGCTGTGTGTGTCTCCTTCCTTGCAGCCCAGAGACTCAAAGGAAGCTGAACCCAAAGTATCAAAAAGCATTAGTTTCATAGAAGCCAATCATGGCAATTCTTGGTCCATTTACTGAGCTGGATTTAATCCAATCAGCATTATTGTTACAGGGCAGGTAAATTAAAATGTTCCATCCAGACAAAAGAGAAAGACTATATATTCCTAGACTCCCTCTAAATATAACAGGAGAGTAGTGTCCCAGCTGCTGGCAACTGTCTTACAATCATGGGGGAAGCTATGGACAAAACAACTGGAGGGGAAAAGCAGAATGGAGAAGAGAATAACCACAGAGAATCAGTGAGAAAGTGTGAGTTAACTATATTCTATCAGTTTTACCATGCACTTCTTTTTAGTAGAATTAAAATGTTTCTTTTATGTTTAAGACAGTTGGGTTGGTAGTATCTTCTTTTGTCATTAGGAACCATCCAATTGATTCAGGAAGTCCAACTCTTAAGACACTTAAAAAAGCTAAATAATAAAAGTTAGATGACTTGCAATTGCAAGGAGACAACCAAGAAAAAAAAAATCTTGAAGCAGTGTTTAATTTGCTGTTCCTTCTATCTCCTTCCATACACATGTAGTTTTCAAGAATAAGCAAGTTATTTTGACTAAATACAGGTGATGGCTTTACAATCTTTTTAAGATGGAGAGAATAGATTTTTGAGATTTTTTAATCAGTGACAATCACATCATGTAAAACATACTAAAAAGTGCAACTGAGTTTTTAATATATAACTTCATACAGATTTTTGTTTCCTTATAAGTAAATAAAGATATCTCATCTTGGTTCAGAACTAATGGCATTTCCATGACTGCTGGTGAAATTCAGGGCCACTGAATTCCCTTTTTCTGCAAGCCGCACTTTCATCTCCTTTGTCCACTCTCAATTCTATTTGTCTTCATAGAGATATTGACTCATTTAAGAGGGTGTTGTCACTTAACAGTCTATTGCTTGGATTTGACTTTATTTTATCTTCAGACATATAAAGCTTTCTCTATTTTTAAAATAAATTCAAACTTGATTTCTTCTATAGCATCTAAGTCTTATTTCTATTTAAGGTAGTCTATTAGTCCCCAATTTTAAAAATTTCCATAGACTTTCTCTTAAATCCCTGGTTTAAGAGGATTGTTATTTGGCTTTTATTGTATACCTTTAATCAATCTGACATTTGCTTAGGTATGTCATAAGAGGCAAGGTTCTAAGCAATTACACTAACACCATATTTATTAAATATCTTCTTTGATCCTGACTGATCATCCTTTCGGTGACAGAGCAGAAGGAACATGGGTGTATTTCCAGCTTCCAGGGGTGCACATTTGATTAGATATTAGATACTAATCTCAGTTTCATTTTAAGTAACCTATGGTTTCCATTTGGAAATGTGTATAATTTTTCTTAATCCATGAAAGTCTGTTTTGTTAATTTTTCCTGGGACTCAAAAGTCCTTAGAGACATGTTGGAGACATGTCTTTGTTTTTTTCACCTCAAGTATACTTATTTGTTCAATTATTACTCCTCATTCTTTTCACCTTGTGCTACAATTTTTTAAGGTAGGTCTGGACCTTCCCTTGGGTTTTATTTATTCATTTCTGATTTCTGTCTAAAGTTTTACTCAATGTTATAAGACATTTCTTCAGAAAGCCAATTTTGTTCTTGGTAGTGATCATTTCCATTTTCATTTTATTCACTAAAATTTTAAATTGTGACTTTTTCAGTTTTTAAACTTTCTTTCAGCAAGCCTTTTGCTGTTCTTATTGTAACTGCTTCTCCCTTAGAGTCTTCTGACAATGAACTTCTCTCTAGCTTTTCAGTGAGTCCTCTTCAATGGAGCCACATGCTCTATTAGACTTCATGTCCTTTCATCAAGGCCCTAATGACCTACTAGCATATGAGCCACTTATTTGCCTGTCAAGCTTGTATGGTCCCAGATGAAGCCCAGGTTATACTTCTGGGAACTCCACAGCAGCAGCAAACCTAAAATTAGTGCACCACATTTACTGTCCTTGTTTTTGGGGACACTAAACAACAACACACACAAAACCATGACCCCCCTCAGCACATAGTCCCTAACCAACTTGCTGAGAGCCATAGCCAAGTAGGAACCATAGCATTTTTGGTTGAAAGGTGACCCTGCTGGATTAGGGTGGCTCCAGGTTTAGGGTGGATCCTGCTAGGAATAGGGCGCATCCTGCTGCCTCAGGCACCCACTCCTTGAGTTCCCGTTGAGTTCTCGTGGGGTTCTGAGAGAATTGGTACACAGAGCCCGGTGGAGGGAGTGTATTTTCCCCAGAACGTGCGTGTAGAGTGTCGGTGAGAGTTCTCGGGAATAAAGAGTTGCTGTTTGAATCTACAAGGCGGTGTGGTGGCTTGGTTATTTTGTGCCCAGACAGACTGCGGCACCACTCAGCCTGGAAAAGCCCCCATCTGTTTCTGACCAAGACCAAGAGAAAAAGCAGGCCTGACATTAGATCTTTTCAGAAAGCCTCAAGGAGAGGTAGTCTTCCCTTGTAGGCATCCTATTATAGCACAATAACCATCCTAGAATCCTAAGCTGCTCATTCATTCCCTCCCCTGATATGCAATGGGAACTTAATAGCATGAGCCATCTGCATATGTCCTGAGAGACTTCTAGGTGCTGGTGATTGATGAAAGCAGAATGGTCCACTGTACTCATACTCATCAGAGGTTACAGAAACTTGAGTAAAGGAGTAGGAATGAGGGAGAACCAGGAGAGTGTACACAACAGCCGTCTTCTTAGAATGCTTTCCTCGCCAGTGAAATTTCCTGTTATGGCAATTTCAATAGCATATAGTAAGTGTTTCTGACTCCCTTGGAAATCCTAACATTATAGACAGGGTGGGACAATAATCCAAAAACCTCCAAGAATTATAATTCTATTAATCAATTACTTTAGTTATGTATTTTGATTGGCATACCTGAATGATTTTCGGCAATACATCAACTCCATTTTTAGTGTTCTGTGTTGCAGTTAGATACTTTTTTTCCAAAAAGAATGTTACAACCCACTTAATAAAAACCACACGAGCTGCCATGTATGGAATTTTTGTACTGTAAATGCTTTCATTATCTCGAGTTGTAGTAATATACACTGGCTTTGGTCTTAAATGGGGGATGTCTGGAAGAAAAAAAAAAAGAACAGAGTATTGATTAGGTTAGTTATCTGTATAGCAACTAAGAATGAAGATGCAGAAATAGCACCTTTTCGTAGGCTCATTGCTAACTGTCTTGCAATCTGACCAAGAAGAGGTGACTGTTATTGTCTATATAGAGCTATGGAAAAATTAAGCTAATAGCTTTTTTAATAAATTTGAGAAATTATATGGGACTATAATATAATCTGGTCACATACCTAATTTAATCTCATTTTCTGACTGTAACATGTTAAAAGTATATAGGCACTTTAGAAAAACAATCTTTTTAAGTATTTTAATAGCCAACACAGCACTGACTAAACCTACTGAACTTAAGTTTTTCTACCCTTTTCCCTTTAGGTGAATCCAAGAAAACAGAATCCCTATAATATATTTGATGTCTAAGAATTCAGAACATTTCATCTTTGAGATATAAGATACCACATCTTCCAAAGAATTAATAAAGAGGTCCATTTCTCATTCTTTAAATTCCTTCATCAATATGAAAATCATATGGTACCAGATTTAATATATTACTTGCCATAAATTCAACTCTCTCTCTTAACTAATTTTTGTACTCCTGGAGTACCTGAACGAAGCAGAAAAGATATTTTCAATAAAAAATTTCAACCTAGTAATAGTAACAATGTACTATGAATATAAACTAAATTGAAGAATCAAGAAAATTTTTTAAAAATCCACACATAACATAGCTAACAAAATAGAACCCTAGTATGATTTAAAAGTCATTTTTATATCTTTCCAAATGTCCAAGCTCCAGCTACTCTCCCTGTGCCTGAGTGTGTGCACATGTAAGTGTGCAACCATATATGTGTATGTACACAGACAAAAATGCACAGCAAAGACAAATGAATTAGTTAGTCATGTCCCACAGTTGGAGTAATGCTCCTAATGACCTTTTCTCCTCCAAAGCTATCTTGAATATTCATGAACTAATTTAGCCTCAGATAATAAGAAGAAGATTTGTCCCCCCTTCCCCCACTTTCACTACTCTAAGGGATGCTTCTGTCCTGTGAATCCTCATTTTTTATGGAAGGAAAACTTTAGGTGCTAAATTAGAAATTGCCTTATGTTTCCTACCCCCGCAAACAAGGGACTTGCTATTCCTAGATTGTCCAATAATCCAAACATCTGTCCTCCATAAGCAACTGTCAGTAGTATCTGCTGGATAAAAGACCCAGTATAAAAGGGCATACTATGGGCAGCTGTGTGCTCTGGTCTGGCCTGTCTGGTCACTGAGCAAGTTCTAGGGTACCACAACCTACCACCCAGAAGGGGAGACTTTGGGAATGGAATTTTTACATTAAGAGATGGCAAATATAATTTACACAAAAAAATCATGATTTTTTTTCAAAGATAAAGATCTATTTAGGAAAGCACACATATATTTGAGGGAGAATACAGGCTGTTTCAAGGGAGAGACATCCCTTGGGGTAAAGTAAGAAACAATCAAGAAAGAATGCCAGCCATCTTGAGAGTAAGAAGCTTTGGGGATAAAGCAAGGAATACAAGGAAAAATGCAGGTTATCTTCAAAGGGTGAGACAGTTCGTGATGTGTTTTACATTATTTTTGAGTATAGGAGTCACGGTTCCCATTATTGCTAGGAGATGATGTATATCTTAGTATACGTAATTAAAATCACTTATTAGGAAACTTTAAACTTTGCACAATAAAGTTATCATTTAATATAAGAATACATTGATTACTTTAAAATATTAAAAAGTCACTATGAAAGAGACTGCACAGCTTTCCTATGAATGTTGCCTATATACAAGTCAAACAGTACTTACCAAGTACAGGTTTGTAGATATTTGTTAACTTAGTAAATGATGGAAATAAATGAGGAAGATAATACTTTCGAAACAATGTAAAAAGAAATTTAAAACCAGTATCCTGATTCTCTTTATTCTTCCACTCCAAGCTTGCAGCCTTTGGATAATATGTGAAAAAGAAAATAAGTATATTTACATTTCAAAATAACATATACAAAATGAAATGCTGTTTTAATTAAAATTCTTTTCATAAATTAAAAAGAGGACAAATAATATTGACAATCATGAAATAAAATTAAATATTAACAAAGTTCAAAAGATTAGGATCTTTGAAAAATAGGTATTAAGTGTTTTCAAACTTGCTCTGCTACATAATGTCCATATTTTTTCCATGTGTTCTTTGTAATGATTAAACATTCCTTGTATCTTTAAAAGATTTAGTCAGAAATAATCAGGTACTTTTTTCCTAACCTCATAAAAGGCCATTTACAATTACTTTATCCAATACTACCTAAACATAAAATCAACAATGAAAGGCAAAAATCTATGGAATCTTGGAAAGAATATTCTTATTTTAAAGGCAATTAACAGGCTAAGATAAATCAAGCCTGCCAGTCTAGCTATGGGTTAAGTATAAAGCTTTCACAGTGTTGAGGTAATATTATGAACCTTAAAAACCTAGCACAGTGAATGCACAGTGTGAGCACTAGAAAACAGTACAGTAACTGGCAGCACTGCCCCAGAAGCCTGGAGAACAGACTATCACAGAGGTGCAGTCACCACCATACTACTGAGGGAAAGATGACAGAGAGGGGGGTCTTTACAAGAATGAGCAGAGCAAATTATAAATCATAGAGGACCTATCACTGGTTCTTATTACTTGTTAGACCAAAACAGTGCTTACCAGCTTCCTTCATGACAATCCCACCTAGAAAATGACAATATCTGTGTGGTATCTGAAGTAAAGGGATGATTACTTTGGCTGCCTCTGGGGCAGAGGGGGTCAGTGTCCATAAACTGTCAGAAACTCTGCTCTGAAGAGTCACCCCAACAGACAGAAGGGAAGGGAAGGGAAGAGAAAGGTACAGTCACTCACATAAAACCCTACACACATAGTGGTTTCAATGTGTGCAGACAAACCTCTACCCTATATCTATGCCATACTCTTCTAGTTCTGGGGACTATGTGACTTATTTGAGATGTGTCACTAATGAGTGACACATCTAGAAGGAGAACCAAGACCCTCAAAACATCAAGTTTTAGATACCCTGTGCTGATTTCCAGGGCATACAGGATGCTCAAACACTTCTGAAAAGGCAGCATGTGAGTTCCTCGTAGAAGAGGCATGAGTTCAATGCACAGCTTCTATAAGATGATAGAATGACCTGATCAGGCTCTCAAGATTTTGAAGTCTTGGGTTTATGGTGCTGGCTAAATGAAATGGGAGTAGAGGTAGGGATCAGAATTTCCCAGCAAGACTGTACAATCAGAAAGGGCAGCCAAGAACTGAATTTTAAAGGATAGCAAAAACAAACAAACAACAACAAAAAAACAACTACCTAAAGAAAACTGGAAAGAAGTAGGGAGGGAAAAAAGGCCAGAAGAAAACATCGCAAGTATCACTAGGAGAGAAGCTCATGAAGAAGAGGTAGTCACTGACAAATCACCTCAAGAATGAGCAGAGCAAATTATGAACCACTAGACTCCATCCTGATCTGGGGCCTGGGCAGAAGACAGGCAATAGTAGGTGTCAAAGGAATGTTAGGCAAGAAAGAGGATGTGGCAAAGATGATGACTTCAACAAACCTGGCTCTGAAGCCCAGGAGGAACTCAGGAACATGAAAAGTGTTCACTGAGAAAAAATAATCTGTTTGGAAATACAGATCATGTGACACAAATCAGGTTTTAAAATAATAAGCTAATGATTTCAGTTCTATATTATATGGGTAAATCTAAAAAAAGGAGCATGTGAGGTGAATCAGGCTGTGCTAACAGCAGTATGAACTCATTGCATGTGTTTTTCTTCATATCTTCCAGTCTGCTCTGCCTACTCCTGGCCCATGGGTCAGCCTCTGGGCCTGCCTCCTCCTCCATTCTTTCATGCCAGCTTAGATATGAGGGGCAGGAAAGACATAAAGAAAGAAAAATTGTTTGAAGAGGTCACATAAAACAGTACAAATTCCTGGTCTTGCGGAAGTGACCTAACAACGGTACGTACTCAGTGTTTAGTGAAGTAGCATATAAAAATCACCCTTAAAAAAAAAAAAAAGAATAAGTGCAACACTGAAATAGCAACAATTTTTCTCTGACCTGAATAACCATATATTTCAACAGTATTTGAAGAAAAAAGCAGGTTTGGTCCTCAGCAATCTTCTCCCCTGATATGGCTGGCAGGAGTGGAGTGATTTCTTCTGGAAATATTTTTGCTGCAGGGTAGAAAATAATGAGACCTCTTTCACCAAAGTTAAATTTTAAATAGGGTTTTAAAAAATGCATTTTTTTAAACAACCTGATTCCTTCACATCTTACCTAAAGACAAAATTAAAAGCAATGCAAATGAAACACATGTATTTGTAGAAATGGATCTATCTAGCCATTGGAACTGCTTATACTGAACTCTAAGCCAATGTGGATCAAGGGCTTAGAACACAGGACAGATGTCCCAGAGCCAGCCACCTCTCCCACTGGACTATTCTTTCCCTTTCAAATTCTGTTTTCAATCAGCCCCAAATCATGCTAGTCATCAGGCAATAAAGTGATATGGAATAATAAATCAATGGCCCTAATAGGTGAGTTCCTTAAAAATTCAAAGGATATAAATGGTCTGATGAGGACACTGTCGTCCTTCTATAAATGCTACATGAAACTAAACAGCTGGAAAATCAAGATGAATGTCCACTAATGAAACGATAGTGATGACAACAATAGACAGTCATTTTGGAAGGTAGATTTAAATTGCATTAGCAGATACAAAAACACTGCAGATATACCATGTGTACCTACTTCCTGCTACTGCCAACATCTGTGCCTCCTTTCCATTCCTGTTTCCACCACTTCAGTAAGTTTCTCCTAGCATCATGTCATATAAATAGGCTCCAAATCTTTTGATTCTAATGTTTGTAAGAAACTAGTATGAATTACAGGGAATAATTCCTCTTGAGACCTCATCAGAACTTACACTAAAGAAAATGAAAAATCAAGAATTTCCTCAATTTAAGTGCCAGAGTAATTTCAGAGTGTAGAGTTTACTGACAGTGCTTACCATCAGCTACACTAGGGCTAGGATTGATGAGTGTCTCTAGTGTGCAGGGCCCCCGGGATGATAAGACCGCTGGAAAACCAGGCACGAGGCATGCAAAAATCAGCACCTGTTCTTCTGCGCAGTTTGTCTGAAGTGCTTGAAGCCACAAAAGAAACAACCTGATTCCTTCACATCTTATCTAAAGACAAAATTAAAAGCAATGAAAATGAAACACATGTATCTGTAGAAATGCATCCAATATAGCACCATTCTTAAAGAAAAACTAGAAGTTAAAAGGCACTGTTAAAGTTCTGCACCAAGTTCGTCACTAAATAGAAAGTAAGCAAGGATGCTACAATACAGCACCAAGATTAAGAGTTTAGGTTCTGGGGCCAGAGGGCCTGGGTTCAAATTTAGCCTCTTCCAGTTTCTAGCTGTGACCTGTAGGAAACCATTTAACTTTTCATGTCTTATTCTCCCCATCTGTAAAATAGGGAGGACAATAGTTTTTGCCACAAAGGACTGTTATAAGGATTAAGTGAGTTAACATATGTAAGGCACAAAAGGGGGTCCTGGCTCCCAGTTAGCACTATTTATTTCCTATTAACAGTATTTCATAATGTAAGGCCACAGTGTTCATACCATCAAATCTTGATTATCCAGAAAACCAGTGAAAAAGATAATCTTTCTCCAAATTTATACTGTGCTTTTAACAGAATTTTGTAATGTCAATATAATATGCACCTGTTTATAATGTTCTTAAAAATCATGAATACTAGGAGCTAAATGAAACTGAAGACCTGGCTCAACCAGACAGGGCAGACCTCCAGCTACACTGCCTCAAGTCCATACTCTATTCTAAACTCTTCACTGTGCTCTGAATGGTCAGCATTCCCTGGTAGAAAAAAAAAAAAAATCAAGATAGGTAAGTAGACATGTACTTTTTCTTCTTCTACACTTCCAACTTCATCATATCCCTAGAATTAAAAAAGGCATCCCTCCTTTTCTGCATTCCTAAGTGGTTGAAAAAGATGATGTCAATAAAAGAAGATAAATAAGCAAATGAGAATGAAATGTGTCAGATGCAACTGAAAGATGTAATGAGCTCCAAATACAGGCAATTGGAGTGGCTGCCTGATCTCCTTTCAATTAACTCAAGGTAAGACTGGTCCCTCCAAATCGAGAGTGTTGCAAGCCAAACACGAAACTCCACAGGAAAACCAAAAAGTGGAGGAGACACACACACACACACACACACACACACACACACACACACAAGAGAGAGAGAGAGAGAGAGAGAGAGAGAGAGAGGGAGAGAGGGAGAGAGGAGAGAGAAGAGAGAAGAGAGAAAGATTCACCAATTTCCAAGAGAAGTCAAAATACACCAAGACAGATACCCTAGCTGGCAACAGTACTACCACATTAACTGAGGGGATTTACAGCATACTTCCAAACATACCCCTGGACTCCACCACTGCTCTGCTCAAACCTCCATGTCTTTCCATACTATTCCTCCTTTCCTCTAGCAGGTAAAATGAGGGGTAATGTTGAATACATATTATTCAGCCATCAAGCAAAAATGATGCAGCTCTACACACACCTAATCAAATAATATTTAACATGAGGAAAGTTTCTGTGAAATTCTATAAGTCTCCAATTTTTCATGTTAACTATAGTTAACTATATTTAATTATAGTTAACTATATTTCCTTAAAAATGTGGGGGTGGGAATATGGAAATCACAGTGAGGTTAAGAATAGATTGTTTCTGTTTTTCAACATATAAGAGGAAAGTCAATATATCAAGTTTTAAGTGTCTGTGGTTGTTTAAACTGGTATACAAACAAAAATGTAGTACCTTATTAAAGACATGAACATATCTACAAGTGAAAAATTCACCAGTCTCACTGCCTTCTGCCACTCATGTTTTGGGGTCATCTTATCCCAGCATCAAATAGTCTATGTCATTATAAATAATACATTTTTATTTTAAAATAATCCAACTTTAACTTAAATTACAAGATCACCAACTGCAAATAGATGAAAAAATATTCAAGAGTGAGGCTCTCTGCTGTTTTTTCCTCCCACAATAGTTCTACTTAAAATGTCCTTCACAATGTAAGTGACAAGGTTAAGAACAAAAACCTTTCTAAACAATATTTGTCATATACTTTCTCAATTAAAAATAAAAACTAAGAAAGTGGTTTATAAAGATCTTTCATTTTCAAAATGGCCTTTGTTACTTTGTGGCATTAATAAACTTAAGAGTAATAAAAAATGCCATTATATTTTCATCTAAAATAAATACCTTAATAGAATTTCCGGTGTGTAGAAGCTTCTTTAAAGTTGAGCCTGAAAGTTTAAAACAATGAATTAGAAATAGAGTATATAAATAAATGTTTAAGATCTATTTTTTTTAAATAAGTTTTAGAAATAAAAGTACTTTGTGATAAAAGGGTATATTTTCCTAAAAGTAAAAGGAAGAAGGACACCCTTGAGAAGCAAAGCAATGTCACAAAAGGAAAAAGTTGTTGAGGTAAAAGTACTTTAAGTACGTTCCTCTTCAAAATTCTTTAAAAATAGTCAAAATGATTGATATTGAGGTAACCCAAATACCCATAGTATAATATGTACAAATATCTTTGTCATACATAAACTGATTTTTTTTTTAATTTTAGAGGTAAAAATAACGTCAAACTACTGCTCACAAAACACTTTTACAAGATTACTTTACAAATATGCAGGATGCCATGTCTCTCTCCTGGCAATGAAGACCACATTTATGAGGTTCAGTCCCTCAATAAATCCTCTAGCAGAGCACTTAGGTCACTGGCAAGGAGGTGGAATTAAGATTTACTCAGAACTACACCAGTCAACAGCTAAAACTTTCACGCTGCAGTCCAGCATTCCGAGAAAAGTCTCTCAATGGAAACATACAACTGAGTATTCTATAAATGCACTCATGCCCCCAGGATGGACATGGTATGGAAACCCCATCTAAATGCCTCTAAAATAGAATCAAAAAAGAAGGGTATTTTCAAAATAGAAATATAACGGAAGTCTCAGGCAGGAGAACATTTCATTTGATCAATTTGCATATATTAAAAAAATTACTTAGATCTCCCTATTGAATAGTTTTGTGCAATATTTTAAAATCAGATATCCATTCATATTTATTTTATTTAATGTATATCAAAAAGATGAACCACCATGAAATAGAGTCAATGTCTTAAGGATTAATACAAGCCAAATTTCTGTGGATATTGGATACATAGATATGTCTGATCACTAAATGGAATTCAGTAGTCAGGACAAAACCACAGGCAATCTGAAGGAACCTTTAATAATTGCTATACTGTCACTATAACATCTAATACTGGGGCCCTCATCTATTTTATGTGTCTCCCTAGCCCTACTAGTTGCCACTTTATTGACTCATGTGAATAACTGAAAGAATACATAAATGAATAAATAAAATTTAATTAATGGGATTGATTGTATGAATTTTGAACTTCTATTGGCTAACTTTATATTATTATATTTTAATTAGTGAATTATAATTATATAAAAGTCCTACCCTCCCTTGCCCTCTTTCATTTCCTCTAGTACTGGTTTTCCTTCTATTTATTTATAGCTCTTTTTCAAATTGGTTTTATAGATAGACATAAAGGTGAAATTCACTGTGGTATATTCATATATATACATAGCATAATTTGGTTGATTTCATTCTACTATTCCTCCCTTTTCCCATCTTTCCTCCCTTCCTATTATTACCTTCTTTCACCCCACTGATCTCCCTTATATTTTCATGGGTCCTTTCCCCTTTTATCCCCCTCTTATTTGGGTCTAGTGTGGCTAATTCTTATTTGTATCTTAAACAAAAATATCCTTTAACTGGAAGTCTGAGGTAAGAGGAAAAACATGTATCCCCCATATACATGGCTTTTATGAATTCTAATGGTTAATATTTCCAAAATATTAAGGTATTTAAATTCAAGTGTATTTAAATTCACAGCATTAGTTTAAATATATCATTTATAATAAAGAATGTACTATTATGACTTTACTTTCCTGAATTTAATAAAAAAAACTCATCAAAATTAAAATAGACTTTATTATTGCTATATGTATATACGTGACTACATGAACAATGTGATTCTGCAATCTATACACTCAGAAAACTGAGAAATTATACCCCATCTGATTTAAATGTATGATATGTCAAGATCATTGTACTGTCATGTGTAACTAATTAAAATAAATAAAAAAAATTTCAAACTCTACTTGCTTCTTATTTTCAATTGTGAGACCTACCAATGTCTTTTTGACCAACTGACAATTTTTTAAAGATATTGTAAGGTGAAAAGTTCGTAAAGGTACAAAAATCCTTTCTTATTTTAGTTTTAATTGTTTAAAAATTCCCTTTATATATCATGCCTCAAGCTAAACAACAAAGAAGCATACCACCAGACAAGGCTTAAGAACATGGAAAAACTCCCTTTGGGATGCTGGTGCACAAAGACAGTTGGAAGTAGCTAGTGGATCAAGAACATAGAACTTCCTAGGAGTACATGATGCACATACTAAGTAGGCATAAGGAAGCAGGAATTTTAAATTAACCAAAATTAGCTCAAAATGGATCAATATGAAACATAATAACAGAACTACAAGAAGAAAACCACAGGGGATCTTTGTGACTTCAGGTTGAGTAAAAATTGTCTAGACACAATACCAAAAGCATAATCTATAGAAGAAAAAAATTGAATTTCTTCAAAATTTTTAAAAGCTTTACTCCTTAAAAGGCACTATTTAAGGGACTAAAATAACAAGATAGGGAGAAAATATTTCCAAGACATATCTAATAAAAAAACAAAGAATATGTAAAGAACTCTCAAAATTTAATATTAAGGAAAAAATGTTTAAATGGACAGTATATTTGAACATACAGGTCCACCAAAAGCATACAGATGGCAAACCCATGAAAAGATGATCAAGTTCTTTAGTCAAGGAGATATTACCACTAATCTTTTTTAAATTGACTATACCAAGTATTTTTAACTGGAACTGTCACAGTGAGGATGGTAATATAAAATGGCACAAACACTGTGGAAAACAGTATGGCAGTTAAACATATGCATTTATATGATTCAGCCATTCCATTCCCAAGAGGTAGGAAAGTGTATATTTATACAAAGACTTGTATACAAATATTTACAGTAGCTTAATATTTCTAACTGCCAAATACTAGAAACAACACAAATGTCTATGAACAAGTGGACAGATAAACAAATTATATAATGTAATACTGTACTATTAAGAAATAAGAATAAACTATTAATATATGCAACAACATAGGTGAATCTCAAGTGAAAGATGAAAACGAGTATATGCAGTATGATTCTATGTATATAAGACTCTAGAAAATGCAAGTTAGTCTATAGCAACAAAAAGCAGATCAGTGGTTAACTCGGGACTGAGTGATGAGGTAGGGAAGGGTGATGAGGAAACTTTTTTTCCAATGGGGATGAGGAAACTTTTGACAGCAAGATCTCTCTTCATTACCTGATAGTAGTATTATTTTCACAGATACATACATATTATTTTTGTGTGTGTGTATCAAAACTTCTCAAAATGTGCATTTAAAATTCCGTTTACTGTATTCCCAATCAAGATGTTATTCAAAATAAAAAAAGAAAAGGTAGCATAGAAGTGACTGGGTGAAAGATCTAGAGGACGGAGGTTGTGGTCAGAGATCTACATAATGAAAAGTGTCAGGAAGATGCCTAAGGATAGGGGTGAGGAACAATGGGCTGATGAGTAATTTAGATTGGTGGAAAAGACTAGGAGAGAACAAGGCCATGAAAAAGAAGAAGAGGAAGAGAAAGAAAGCAAAAGAAAAGGCAAATGAGATCTGAAATTGCCACTGGAGAAAAGAAAGACTATGAACTCACCCCACAATCCTGAAGGAGACATTGGACCCTCAGGAAAGCCATATTTCAGATGGCCAAGGAGGTGAAACAGAGAGACTGACGCTGCAGTGCTATTGTTTGGCAAAGGGAGTTGGCCCCGACGCTCCCCTGAGTATTCATTCTACCCATTTTTCATGAACACAGAGGCACTCAGAACTTGAGTCTGGCTGCAATGCACTTTTGAGGGAGTCCTAGAGTCACGTTGATAGGGAGCCCTGCTCCCTCAGGAAGAGTAGGGAATGGCATGGCCTAACGGCAAAGGAACCAGGAAAAGCTATAAGACTTAGGCTTCTAAGAAGAGTATAGAACCCATAAGCCTGTAAAAACTTTAAGAAAAGAGGCTGGTGAGAAGTTGTGCTCACATTCAGAAATATGGGGCCACTGGGTACCCCCAGGCATAAAGCCAGGGACACTCTTGAAATGTCGAAAACAAATTTCAGTTTAGTTATGCACTTGGTTTTTATACTATATATAAGAAAAATCTAGTTAAATAAATGAAATTTAATAACAAGTCATATTTAAAAATTCATGAAATACTGCACATATGTAAATTTTCTAACAACTAAGCCCTACTCTTTTAGACCTGAGAGTGATTTACTTTCAACAATTTTACTATAAAACACCTCTAATACAAAATGTGTCCTTTCACTCACTCCATACACATTTATTAGGCACAGCACCATACACTGAATCAAATAGGAAAGCTGCTATCTAGAGGCTCATGAGAAGCAAATCCTTTAAAAGTGAACAGACATATAACTTTAGTTCTGTGTTGGGGACACATGGACACATGGATAAGTACTACAGCTCTTGCATCAAATATCCTTATTTTCCTGCTGCTACCATCCACTATTATCTCATTCCCATTTTTATCTCATTATTGCCCAAAGATAAGGTGTCAAGCAGCCACCCAGTATCTACCACAATTTACTCATCTAAAAGTGGCTTCAGAAAAGCTTGATAAACAATTTTTCCATTTGTAATCAGTAATGGAAATTTGCAAATAGCTCAGTTGTAGGTTAGCTAATATCACGGAGTACATGAGTGTTATTTCATCCACATTCCCAATTTTGTTCTTCAAAGATCTCTTATAGCAGTACCTCTCTATATGCGGAATAATGAACTGGTGTTTATTTCACACTGTAAAAAAATTTCCTCATTCAGTGATTTACAGAAAAGAGTCAGCCATTAAAAACCAAAACAAGAAGAAACTAGACTATTTTCCTTCTAAGAAAAAAATCCATGTATGTATAATATGTCAAAATACACTCTACTCTTATGTATATTTAAAAAGACAGGATAAAAAACTGTTTTAAGAGAAATCAAACAAAACAAAGTGACATATAATACAGACTTTGTGGCATAAAAGGCAGAGCATTGTGG